CTGGTAATATAAAATGGGAATAAATTAATAATAAGAATTGAAAAAAAAATTCTTGATGATGAATTTCTCAGTGTAAATATTTTATTTTGTATATCAGAATACTCAATATGCTACTTTCTTTCTGAACAAAGAGAACTTCAGTGTTGAGTTGTGAGAATGACGGAATACATTGAGTGCTATTTGGAATATTTGGAGCTTGAGAGTGTTCTTAGGCGATTTCTTGATTTTCTCAAGTTCTCGTTCTGCTCGTGGAAGAAGTTTCGTGGACTGCAAAAGTATCTTTTGCCCGTAATTGAGTTTTACGCTTGCATCGCTTCTGTGATTGCAATAATCTTCATTCATAAGGAGATCAAAGACATAACAATTACTTTCATGTTTCTTGTTGGACACATTCAAATACTGTCAAAATTAGTGATACTTTTGCTGAATGAGAATCACTTGTGGGATTTATTTCTGTGGATTCAACAACTTCATTGTTCGCATGAAATAGACTTTGTAACGCAATCACGAAGAAAGCATCTCACGAAGATGCTTTACGTCTCGAAAATTATCCTCAAGTGAATATTCACAGTGGTGTTTTTGGGTTTTATTTCAACGAATGCTTTCCTTCCAGAGCCTTTCCTGTCATCTACTTTGCATGTTCCACAACGTCTTGCCTTTTCTTCGCTCACAGTGGCGTTCTGATTGAAGTAATTCCCGGTTTGGTGTCAAATACCGAAGAAACTTACTTTTGGCAACAGATTCATCAAGTTTCACTCATTCAAATTGCAGCAGTTATTCTTGTGTTGTCAGAATCAGTGCTTTTTATTGTTGCATTCTACATTATTGCTGTGCTAAATTTGCAATGCGACATGATAAAGTGTCTCGATGACTTAGCAATGAATAATCGTGAGGAATTTCTTAAACTAATTCACTCTTTTCACGCTGACAATCTTCAAAAGTTTCAAACGTTCAGGCGTGTTTACGACAATATCTTCACAATTCAGGCTGGAACGAGTCTCAGTTTTATTCTTGTTGTGTTTTTCGTTGTTAACACAAATCATAATGTGGCTTTCTTAACAATTATATTTAGTGTTTTTCTCCAATTCACATCACTGTGTGTTTATGGGGAAATTATCTACTCGAAAACGGAGAACTTCTTTGTCCATCTCTACATGACAAAGTGGTATGAATTTAGTGTTTCTGATCAGAAGATTATCTTGCTGATGATGTGCATTGCTCAGATGCCATTGAGAATCAAAGCAGCTGGAATGTATAATATAAATTTACTAATGTTTATTCAAGTTGTTAAGGCAGGATTTTCCTTCTGCACAATTCTTTACACATTAAATTGAATGCGTCAGTGTAAAAGTGTAATTGTAATGGTTAATAATAAATATTTCTGTATTTTTCCCTCTTCTTTTCGATTGCTTCTGGATATTGGAGAAACAATTCCATATGGCAACATTGTGTGTAATTTGCAGAGTGATTGAAAGTGTTCAGCAATTTTCCAGTAATTTGCAACTTCTTTTCGGGCGCTGAATTGCCGCACTTCGTCACGAAGTGCACGTGAATTGGCCAATTGATGAATTCCCGCGAGAGCTTTTTTACGTCGCGATTCACTGTTGATGTGTGTCAATTGATGCGAGTCTCTGGCGAAGGTCAAATCGCTGGGTGAATATGATTAAATGTGAATAAATCTTGAGCCAAGAGTGCACTTCTTTTGCATTTCTCGCAATGCTCTCCGCGCTTTTAGCATACAATGAAGGGGATTTTTTCTGCGCTCCACGTGCAAAATTCTGAGAGTCTTCACGGTGCGCGCGAAGGTTTCTTGACTTCTGCGCGACTTTGTTTGTTTATATCTTCTTGCGAATGGGAGGATTTTTTTCTCGGGTTGTTTGTTGATCACACGGGAGTTTTTGTGTGTCTTGTGTTCGATAATCTCTGTGGGTGGATTATTAAATTTTTGCGGAAATGACTCTGTGTGAGGTTGTCTTGTGTGTCCAGGAGATTTATTGCATTCCACTGAAGGTGCGTCGAGTGATTTATAATAAATGCGCGCTGTATTGCTGGATGAATTCGAAGAATACACACACACAATAATACATTTTGATTCTGACTTATGCAAAATACAATATCCGCGAATTCTTGCTGTGCTCGCGCGCGCGGGGCGGAAAAGAGGTGGAAAAAGAGGTTGAAGAGACTCAAGTGCATTTGCTCTTTCAAATGCAAATTCAATTTGATGAAATATTCGTGATAAATCCTCTTCACAATAACTCGCTTCACGTGTGTGTGCTCTTCACGATACGGATCTTCCGCACAGTTGAACGAGTTGAACTCCCATGGAAAAGTCATTCATAAATTTAAGTCACCACAGAAGAGAGAGAGAGAGAGAGAGAGAGAAGTTGTCGCGACTTTTCTGCATTACACCAGCAAATTGCTATGAATAGTATAATGATAAAAGGAGAATAATAACTGGAACTTATCACTTTTTGTGGTCTTTTTTTCGTGATAAAAACTCCGCGATGTTTTTTTTCCTTCTCAATTGCGGCGTCAGAATACCAAAATGACATAATCTCTTCACATAATCACATTAAATTTATGTGTTCTCTCATTTTGCTCATTTGCACTCTCTTTTTGCCTTTTGCCCACTCAATTTCCAAAGTCTCTTATTGAGGTTCATTTGCCGTGCAAAGTGGGCTTCTGTTGTGCACGAGGAGAAAAAAGGGAGCGAAAGAAGAGGTGTTCAATTGCCATTCACAGATACTCTGTATTTTCCTGACTCCATAAATGGATTCTTGTCTTTTCACCGCATTCAATTTGTGGGGCAATTTTTTTTCTTTTGTGGCGCTGGAAAAAGTCCTCAGAAAAGCTGTCCGAATCTGCCAACTTTTCCCTTTTGGCAAAAATTATAGAGTGAAAATCTGTGCACAAAACATCGCAGTTTCCAAATGCAAATCAACGTGAGGTAGTTTTGCTGTTTTGTATGAAATCTATTTATTTTCCAATTCACATTAGTTTATATATGGAAAGTTTAATATTGATTTCCATATGCTTAACAATATGTTTGACTCTTGCCTATGAGCAAGTAAAAAGTATAAGAGATGAAGAAAGAAATGTTGTGTCGAATGCGCCCGAGACTCTCGTGATGGATTTATTGGAGCGAAGAGATTTTTCCATTTTCTCCGCACTCAAAATCAATTTGATGCATTCAATCATGTGTGATTCCAGAAGATTATTTCTTTGGCTTTCCTGGGATTTTCCCGCGACGGCATTCAACTATATGTTTTCCACAGATTTTTGGGCACTTTCAGGCATGAAAACACCTTAAAAATACACTTAATCTTAAGTAATTGATACAATTTTTCTGTAAAATTCTGCCAAGAGGAAATTCTTTGCTTCACGCAACATGTTGCATGTTTCACATTATTTAGCGAGACTTTGAAATGTCCCGGAAATGAGTGGAATTCCTTTGCAGGAAATGTTCGGTGAAGGAAAGCTGACGTTTCTTGTACGCTTCTTTCGTGCTTTTCAGCTTCTTGCTTGATAATTTGGGACACACTTGCTCAGAGATGCGTAAAATTCGGCTCGTTTTGTGCGTGGAAAATCAATTTCCAGCCAATCTTTGACCCTGTCCTCGGAGATTTGCAGTGGAGAGACGCCAATTGTTTTCCTTGGCAACAATTGCAAAGTCCAAATGATCAAATAAGGAAGTGAGTGTGGTCGGAATTGCTCAATTACAAGCTGGTGGAATAAAGTGAGAGAATGAGAGTGAAAGATGCAATATGTGCGATTGTGTCCGCCCTCGAAAATGTATTACAAGAAGTCCATCGCGAGCGACATTCATCATTTGAAAACACAACAGTGTGAGAGGGAGAGAAGAAAAGGAGAGATTTGTGCAGAGTGAAAGATAATCTTTAATTGCCATTCAAATGAACCATTTTGGGACTCCACAATAAATGTCTCTCGCGACTGCCTCACTTTGGAGCCTCAATCTCTTCTGCACGACATTAATTTATGGGCGCGCGGACGGCGAAAGAGAGGCGGATTTTCGGAGGGGGCCTTCTGATGAAGATGGCCTACACGGTATTCACAATTTAATTCACAATTTACTTAGACGATTACGTGTCTCTCGCATCGCCACGGACTCTGGCTGCCCTTTCACTTTTCTCGCGCATCTCGTGCGAAGGAGTTGGAGTTGTGCGCCAAGCAAGATGACGGGAGGATTTCTACATTTCGCACAATTGCATGAAATTTACAAGAGAGTTGGCAAAATCCAGAATGCTTTCCTGGGTTTTAATCTGTATTAAAATGTATGCAGAATTGATTTATTTTCCAATTTTCAGAGAGATCACATAATAAGACTTTAAATGCTTGCATTTCAACACTCGCTTAAGCTCATTAAACTGAGATGCGTAACGCAAAATGTGGTGCAGACAGAAGTGAAGAGTTTCTGTTGATTAGCACAATTATTAGCTAAGATTTTGACTTTATTCTCCTGAAATCAAGGATTTTACACCGTTTGAAGTCAAACAATATATTTTTATCATATATTGTGACTCTGTTTAGTAAGAAAATCAATTTTTCTTTGGTTTTCTTGGTTTCCCTAAACAAATTTTGATCTTATTCTCTATCTTTGCTCAAAATTTCGTCGAAACTTTGCAAATCATCAATGCAATCTTTCGGCTGTGTTTGAGTTTTGCACGATGTCTAAAGTGACTTTCTTGTGCTCAAATATTTCCCGCACTTCGAGTCCGGGCAGAACGCGATATAAACTAATAACTGCAATGATCCACCATCTCATGGAGTCATTACCATCATCTTCGCGACTCTGTGCAACTGGATGTTTCGATGGCGCGCAATTGTGTTGCTAAATCGCCGCGATGAATGAGCTCGCGTCTGCGGGAGAAATGAACAATTGAATAACATCGATTAATCATTTTCTCATCCAATTCTTCTTGTTTTTTTTTTGCATAAGAAGTGCGTGTGATCACACTCTTGTTTTTTCCTCATCTTTGCAGATGCGCCGACGCTCCAGAATGAAGACTCTGAAAATTCTCCATCCACTTGCTCAAGGTAAGATTTCGCGCGATCGGCGGAATTTTGCGCGTGTGTCGCGGGCTTTTTATGTAATGCGATCAAACAAACACGGGAGATTGTGAGATGCCCAGTTTTAGTGGATAAAAATTGACCGGTTGGCGCCGATATTGAGGACGGTAATTTATAGAGTTGACTCTGTGCGGTGGAAAATCTCTGCGCGCGCGATGTGTTCAAATTGGACCTTGACATTTTCCAATGGTGGAATCTCTCAAGCAGAATCTCTCGCAGTTCCTCTATTCTATCTTGGCCATTGAATTCACATGCTGCACTCGGATTTTTCCAAGCATCGCCTCGTCATACAAGATTTGCGTGATCTTTTTTTCGCGCGCGCGCGCGTGTGAGAAAAGTGCCCAAGTCCGCCACGAGACGCCTCTGCTGGCCAGCAAGTGGGCAAATTGTCGAATAGGCTCAGGAATAATAATTTTTGTTGCGTGTGTTGATTTGTTTTGGTGCGTGCTTTTTTGCGCTTTTCACCGCTAAAAGGATGGAAAAACTGAAGGAGAAAGGATGGTAAGGTGTCCTGAAGAGCTGTTGGTGTGGAATGTGATGGAGATTGATGGGGATTTTCTGCAGGAATCTCACAGAAGTTGGCTTCAGCAAGTTGACAGACAATGGGAAGCAGAACGACGTGAATTTTCTCATAAAGCTGGCATTAAATGTGAGTAAGAGGCATTTGCTGTGGCTGTGAATCCTCTGGAGGAGTTCAGTGAGCGTGACTTGATGGTTTCCAACCAGATGCCACGTTTGCGGAAGGCGTGGGATGAATTGTGCTGCATTTAACCTCACTTTCCGGTTGTTTGTGTGTGTTTTGCAGACGGATCTCCGGGATGTTGGCCACAATATTCTTCCGGCTGAGCTGAAGGGCTCGAAGTACGACTTGCCGGCGGGTGGAGTCGTTGTGCAGGTGACCAAAGTGAGAAATGTGGCGGCGCCGAGGGCGAATGAGGAGAGCAAAACGGCGCCGAGACTCCTGCGGATTCACTTCTCCGACGGTCAGGGAATTGTGCCGGGCATTGAGTACGAGTCACTGCCTCAGTTGAGTCTCAACACGGTGCCGGGCACGAAGGTACTGCTGAAGAATGGCCCGATCGCGGTGGCGATGGGGAATCTGCTGCTGAAGCCGGCGAATGTGGAGCTTCTGGGCGGACATGTGGAAGCTCTGGCTGAGAAGTGGGAAATCTCGCGGACGATGGCGAAGTTCGCCAAGGGCGGCGCCAGGGGAAACTCCGCGGCGCCGCCGTGGATTCCATTTGGCCAGAAGATCGACACAAAGGCCGTGGATTGCAACATCAAGTCGCTGACGAATGATCCGGAGAAGGAGACGGCGAAGGAGAATGTGGAGTTCAATGCGCAGCGCAGTGAGGCGATTGCGGAGGCTTCCAAGGCGGCGGCGGGGAAGAAGGTGTTCGGCGGCGGACAGAAGATGATGGATCACAATGTGCAGAAGATCGTGGACAAGGGATTCAGCGAGGAGGACGCGCACTATGCGCTGAAGATCAACCGGAATGACTTGGGCCGCGCGATAAGACACTTGAAGAGGCAGACTGGGGACGAGGAGAGACGCGAGGAGCGTCCGAGGCGCGGCGGTCGCGGTGGATTCGGCAGAAATGGCTTTGAAGGCGGCGGCGAGGAAGGCTCGGCGAAGCCTTCGGGGAAGATTTCGCTGTTTGACTTCCTGGAGACGAAGCTGCCGGGTGAGCTGGCGGCGGAGAGTCTTCAGCCGCAGTACGTGCCGCCGCCCAGCTATCGTCCGGACATGCGCCGGCAGTATCCGATGGAGAGAGGCGGACGGAGGCAGGCCGGCGACTTCCGGAGGCCGCCTCGTGAGGGGCCGTCGTCGAACTATGGCGAGAGGCGGCGCAATGCGCCCCGCGGAGGCTCTCTGGCGGGACAGATGGAGAGCCTGAGGATTGACGAGAGAGGCAAGCAGGATTTCAACAAGGCCTTCCCACAGATTCCCAACGGATTCGATCCCAATCGCATCATGGGTTTCCAGAACAAGGAGACGAATGAGTTCGCGCGGAATGTACTTAAGCAACAGCACCAGAGGCCTCATCCGCCGCCCCAGCGCGAGGCGCCGACTGGATTGTGGCAGTGGAGAGTCGGTGACAAATGCCTGGCCAAGTACTGGGAAGATGGGAAGGTGAGAGGTGCTTCTGGGAGGTGTTTTTGCAATGCTAATTCTCTCTTTCTCTGCAGTACTACAATGCGGAAGTGACTGGAGTCACGGAGAAGACGTGCGTGGTGGCGTTTCTGGATTATGGGAATTACGAGGAGGTGCTCAAGGATGACTGCTTGCCGGTGACGATGGAGGGCGATGAGAGAGGCTTCGGCAGGCAGCAGTTCGGCGGCGGAAGGCCGCACAGACACGAGAGGCAACTCTATGCGCCGCCGAGGAAGTGACTCTCGGCCGGAAATAAACGAAATTGTCTGATTTGCATCATTTGAGAGAATTCACTGGCTTTCTCTTTAGCGATTAAGGAATGAAGATTGTCTTAATTGCTTGCTAATGGCTTGATTTGTTGTCTTTCGCAGGTCAGATCGTCGCATTCATCCTCCTGTATCTCTGCTCGTGCTTCCTGGCGGAACCTGGCGTGAGTGGGAGTGAGTGAAAGAGTGTCTTGAAGTGAATTGATGTGTGTTTTCTCTCTTCCGGCAGTATCTGGACTTCGACAATCTCCCGGAGACGAACTTCACGTGCGCCGGCAAGGTGATTGGCGGCTACTATGCGGATCTGGAGACGTCCTGCCAGATGTTCCATGTGTGCACGATTGGGCAGCTGGACGAGCCGATGGACATCAAGTTTCTCTGCCTCAACGGCACGGTGTTCGACCAGGAGACGCGCGTGTGCGAGCGAGTGGACGAAGTGGACTGCAGCAAGTCCGAGCGCTTCTACTACCTCAATCTGGAGTTGTACGGCAACACGATGGTGCCGGTGCCGGAGGAGAACGCCGAGGCGCCCATCACGACGAGCTCCTCGAGCACCAGCACGACCACCACAACCACCACGACGCCGGCGCCGACGACCAGCAGCACGTCCACGACGCCGCAGCCCGTGAGCAGTAGCACGCGGCGGCCGTCCAGCACGTCGCAGGCGCCGTACAGGCCGCCGTACGTGTTCAACGCCACCAAGCCGGCGGGCTTTACCACACAGCACTATCTGCCCAGCACGGCGGCGCCCACGCTGCCGCCGGACGAGGAGGACGCCGATGAGGAGGAGTACGAGCTGTACGACGACGACTACTTCGTGACGGAGCGCGGCCCCACGAGTCCGCCGGCGGCGAACGCCTTCTCGCCGCAGCACTTCATCTTCCAGCAGAAGGAGGAGAAGGCGAAGGGCGGCCAGGGCAAGCCGGCGATCTCGTTTCAGCAGCAGCAATTCGAGAATGGCGGCTCGGTGCACAACTCGCACATCACTGTCACCACGCACACGGCGACGCCGGACAAGCACAAGGTGCCGGCGTACGGGAAGAATCGCGCAGTGACGCCGCCGCCCAGCATCACCACGTCGCGGCCGCAGTACAATCTGTACGGGCTGAACACGGCGCCATCCGCCGCACAGCTACCAAAGAGAATACCTCTGTTGCCCACTGCGCAGCACTCCCAGAGCAGCCCGCCCACGGGCCACGCCGGCTACCAGCCCGCGGCGCCGTTCCGTCTGCGCGCGCAGGGCTTCCAGCTGCCGGCGCAGCCGCGCCCCTTCGAGGGCTACCGCCGCCACATGCCTCAGGTGAGCCGCGAAGCATTCTTACGTGTTTTCTTCCTCAGTGCTTTACTCTCTGTGTCTCACGCTCTTCTCCTTCGCAGATCCCTCTGCATTTGCCAGCATTTGAACAGAGGCGAGATCACAAGGAGATCCTGGGCTTCGAGGATGCCGCCGATGCGCTGATCGCGCCGGCGGAGCGCAAGGAGCTGAAGCGGTCGGATCCGCGCGGCGGGAGTCAGAACGCCACAGTGAGCGTGACGACGTCGAGCACGTCGAAGCAGCGCAGCGCGGCGCCGGCCAAGGGGCGCGACGCGGCGCCCAGTAGTAGTATTAGTAGTAATTTAAAGAATACCCATAGTCAAGCGTTCGACAGGGTCCTGCTGACGCCGCAGGATCGCTACATCTCGAGTCTGCCGAAAGTTGTGATCTCTGCCAGCGCCTCCGTGAGCGACGGCAGCGGCAAGAAGCTCAATTACTCAATTGGGAGCAACGTGAAGATCCCGCCGCCCTCGTATGATGACTATCGCGAGGGGGACGTGATCCTGGACCCGTTCTTCCTCGATGTGCCCAAAATCAAGCCTAGAATTAAGCGCTTTGCCGAGCGAAGGAAACGAACTGTTGCGTGACTCGCGCGCCTATTTAATCCTCCTAATCAATATCTCCCTCTCACTCTCTCTCTCTGTACAATCTAATGAGTCCAGCCGTGAAGCCCGAAGTGTCGTGAAATTTGTGTGAAAAAAAACATATGAAGCGAAAATTGTGTAAATAAAAGAGATTTACTGCGAATTTGGCGCTTTGTGTGTTTGAATTTCAGCGGCAGCCAGTGCCACCTGGCGAAAGTGCACATACACGTGGTCTCCTGGTGGCGAACACGAGAAACGGCAGAATGACAGTGGCATTTGAGGAAAAATGGTGTGGGTGGCCTGAGGAATAGTGGGTTTTCCAGTGATTTTATGGTACAGCGACATATCCTCGCACACCCAGTGATACCTGAGAGCGTCTGCGAGACGACGGACGTCGGGGCTTGTCCAGAGGTGCGGTCTGAAGGGCGGAAAGATGGCATCGCCGCCGCCAATAAAGCCTCCTCGTCGTGAAAAATACTCCAAGGAAACGGTAAATTTCCAACAAGATCTCGCAGAACTGGCTGGAAAGCGCCTCGAAGCGCTGGGGCGCGAGTGTTTCCTCTTCCGGACGCCAGTTTCTCGGGGAATTCCTCAGTTGACAGCGCCAGTGGCGAGTTGTCAAAGTGTCCGGACTTTTCACTGGGAATTCTCTCTCTTTGCTTCGTCTTCCAGACCGGCTGTGGACTTCTGGTGTCTGTGATCAAGACCCTCGATGCCAGCGAGACGAACGAGCAGCGCCAGAAGGAGAAGCTGAAGATCGAGAAGGAGTTCAAGAAGAGCGATCAGCTCCTCAATGAGCTCGTCTCGAGGCACGATGGAGATCTGACGAAGGTGCGAAACGCCCACAATTCCGCCCGCCAGACGCTCATCCTCTCCATTTGGGTCATTGCAGGTGATGCAACTGTTCGGGAAGGTCTCCACGCATGTCACGACGTCACGCGAGAAGATCCACACGGTCAAGGAGAACCTGCACGCCTGCAAGCAGCTGCTCAGGTGTCGCCGCGAGGAGCTGAAGAAGCTCTGGACGGACGCCGTGCAGCAGAAGTACGTCCTGGAGATGTTCGACCAGATGTGAGTCCTTCATTTACTCGCTCCTTATCACAGCTGGCAATCTGCAATTGCGATGCTTTGATTGATTTCGTTCTGCTTGTATTCTTCGCGATTTGATAGCATTTTCTTAACAAACTGGGCGGTTTTCCGTCTTGACACAAAAGACAAAGCTTCATAAGGTCAGGAATTGTGGATAAAATCCAGTAAATTGAGTGATTTTTAATCTTGACAATTCAAAGCGCTTGATTTACTTCATCAATCTTGAGTAACATCTTAGAATCAAGCGTCAGATTTTCCTACTTCTGTGCAAAAATGTAAAATTTAAAGCGAAAATCATTTTCTGATCGGAAAATACTTAACCTTTTGGACAATTAGAATCAAATTTGAATCCAAATTGGAAAAAATCTAGTCAGAATGCTTAATTCCTTTCTGTCATCTGCAATTGCAGAAACGAGCTGCGCAAGGTGCCGTCGATTGTCACCGCGTACACCACGAAGCGCCAGTATCTGCACGCCACGAAGGCGCTCACGACGGCCATAGCGCTGGGCGAGGGCGCGCTGAGGGAGGTGGAGGGTCTGAACGATCTGCGCCGCGATCTGGAGGTGCGCAAGAGTCAGCTGTACGTGAAGCTGCTGGAGGAGCTGGCCAGGCATCTCTATCACGTCAACACGGTGGAGTTCCTCGGCGGCTTCCAGCGCCAGGGCTCTGGGCGCAGCAGCACATTCGCGGCGGCGTCGCCGTTCCAACGCACGCCGCTGCGCAAGTCGGCGGAGCGCGCCGAGGCGAACTCGAAGGTGCGCCGCGCGCTGTTCGAGATGCAGCAGGGCGGCGCCTTCGATGTGGACAAGACGGAGATCCTGGAGGACGGCGAGATGGTGGACGCCGAGCTGAATTCCACGTACTACATCGGCATCATCACGGAGTGCTTCGCGCTGCTGAACAAAGTGCCTCAGTCGCTGGACACGATTCAAGTACAAATGCAGAGCGAGCTGGGCGTGATTGTTGCGCGCACGACGCAGAGTATCGTGGCCATGCCGCCGCCGGCGCCGCCGATGGAGGGCCAGAGTGCGCCGCCGCATGCGCTGATTGAGTTGCTGGAGTTGCTGTTCAAGCAGTTCAAGATTGTGGCCGAGACGCACGCACTGCTGCTGAAGAACTACGCGAATGTGATTCAGAGATACAAGATCAGCGCGAAAAACTACGATATCATGGATTACTGGAATCAGGCGCAAATTGTGGTAAGTTTGGGACGAGTTTTGGGCCTTCTCCCAATGAAATTGAGTCAATTCAATCGACGAAATCAAATTCTGGAGTAGTTTTTAGATTATTAATGTCATAAATGTGAGATTTTCTTAGTAATTCAAGACTTGAGGCTTGAAAGTGAGGAATAGACTGGGAAAACTAACATCTTTCTTCTTTTTTTTCTCACATTCAGCTGCAGAATGTCCTTGTGGACTATCTGAACATCGATAATCCGGCCAACGATGAGCAGCCGCGGTCGACATTCCTCGAGCAATCGACAAATTTCAACACTTTCTTCAGTCGCCGCAAAGTGCCGCACAAGAAGACGCTGTTCAAGTTCGACAAGTCGGCGCACACGGTGAGCGAGGGCGGCGACGCGAAGGAGCACCGCCGCAATCTATCCGACATGTCAGCCGACGAGGCCGTGGCGCTGGATCCGGCGCACGCGACGGCGGACAAGAAGAAGCGCGAGCGCGTGCTCGTGTGCGCGCCGGACTTGGCGCTCATTCGCACGATTTACCTGCCGCTGATGGTGCACGTGGGCGAGATTGAGGGCATCGGGAAGGCGGGGCAGCGGTGCAGTCTGCACGCCTTCCTGGCGCAGCACGTGAAGGAGACATTCCTGGCGCGCGGGCACAACAGATCGCTGCAGGTGACGATTGAGTCGCTGTCGAAGACGCAGGACGCGTGGAAGGCCATCGTGGGTCCGGAAGAGATCAAGAGACTGGGCCTCAACAGGCCTCTGCTGCAGAGCACGGTGATGGTGGAGAGTCGCATTCGCGAGACGACGAATCTGATCCAGGATCTGCCAAATTACTCAGAGGATCTGCTCAAGATGATCTGTGCGCTGCTCAAGACGTACCGCGAGACGTGCCAGGCGGCGTACAGGGGAATTGTGCAGCCCGAGACGGAGGACAAGAGGATCTACAGCGTGGCGTGGCTGAAGGACGATGACATCAGTCGCTTCCTCAAGACGCTGCCCAATTGGACGGACCTGAAGATGTCGCACATGCGACGGCAGCAGTTCGGCAAGCTCGCGGCGCATCCGTACGAGATGTCGGAGGAGGAGAGCATGGCGCAGGTGAGCTATTAATCTTCCTTCTCTGATGTTCTCTGATGAAGATTGCCTCTCATGGCAGGAAAAGTCCTTTTTTCTCTCAGCTTATTGTTATTTTTGGAGCGACTGAAGCTCTAATTCTGCACCAAAGATCCTTCCTGACGACGCTTATTCTGTCCGCAGGTGCAGCAGAGGAATATCCGCGAGGCGGAAATGCTGACCAGCAACTTGTGCGAGGGCGGAATTTCGCAGTTCGAGATCCTGTCCGACGTGGGCGTGCTGAAGGAGTTGGCAATTCTGCAGCAGAGCATGGAGTGGTTCTCCAATCGCATCTCAGAGTTCGCCAACAATCTGCGCAAGCCAATCGTGAATGGTCTGGTGGCCAGCGAGCTGATCTCGCCGGTGGTCGTGCAGGATGGCACGATTAAGGTGCTGACGAATCTGGCGCTGGAGTTCGACGAGCTGGCCAACACGTGTCTGCTGGTGCTGCATCTGGAGGTGCGCGTGCAGTGCTTCCACTATCTGCGCTCGTATCCGTCGGACAGGGCGCGCGGCGATCTGCACAAGGGTGACAATCTGGAGCCGGACTCGAAGGTGCTGAAGCTGACGAAGGTGCTGTCGGACATGGATGAGGCATTCAGCGCCACGCTGCATCCGCGCAAGGTGAAGTATATCTTTGAGGGTCTGGCGCATCTTGCGGCGCGCATTCTCATCATGGCGTCCAACTCAATGGAGGTGATCGATCAGGTGAGCGTGCAGCGGATGTGCAGGAATGCACAGGCGCTGCAGCAGACGCTGAGCAGCATCACGGCGACGCGCGAAGTGGCGCTGGATCACGCGAGGAACTTCTACGAGATGCTGTACATGAAACCCGAGGTGAGTGATCACTTGCTGCTTCTTTGAATGTCTCAAAAAAGGAAGAATCTAAAGGATCTTGAAGCCTAACAAATCCTCATGGATTTGCGGATGATTTACAAAGTCTCTCAATATTCATCAAAACTGAAGAAATTATAAGGAAATTGACAGAATTTCCTCCTAATTTATGAACCTGCTTTGTTAATTTTATTCTAAAGATTCATTTATCCCTAATTAAGCCATATTGTCTATTGATTCGAAGCGTTTCCAGCCGATAGCTGTTCTTAAAATCAGGCTTAAGAACTTAAGCCAAGCGTACAATTTTCAAGTCAGATAACGCAGTAAAAATTGTAAAAACATGCTTATCAATAATCCTGCAGATAAGTTATCAATTCCTAGAATTGTTCTGCGTACAATTTATCGTGAAAATCACCGCGATTGATAAGGACATTGTAGGAAAAGCCAGAGCTCCGTGAGGCTTTGGCTCAGTGTTGTTTTGTAATTTGGCACAAGAAGAGCCGTAAGGATGATGTTGAGTTTTGTCGTGTTGGCGATCGCTGTCGTGAGCTGTGCTGAGGCCATCGATTGGTGTCAGATGCAGGCGAATTATTGCGGAGGACGTGAGCATATTGCGTGTCAGCCGAACAGTTTTCCAACGGGTCAGAATGTGAGGAATATTCAGATGGTGTCAATGACGCCGGCGCTCATTCAGCTGGGCGTCGATCGACACAATTTCCATCGCGGCAACGTGGCGTCAGGATCAGTGGCTGGGATTCCTTCGGCGGCGGCCATGCAGAGGATGAATTGGCACACGGATTTGGCCTTTGTGGCTGCGGAACATGCGCGTCACGCCAATTTTCAGCACGATCAGTGCCGAGCATTCACGGAGTTTCCCTTCTCTGGACAGAATCTGGCTATCAGATGGTCTTCCGTCGCCTTCACGAACATGACGGCGGAATTTCAGCGCTTCATTGACATGTGGTACGACGAGATGCCGATTGTCAGGGACACAATGCCGTCCTGCATCGATTCCTTCACCACTTCCAATCCGAATTGCCTTGAGGCTGGCCACTTCACGGTGATGGTGAACGATGTCAACAGCCACTTGGGATGCGCTCTGGTGACTTTTGAGCAGCTCATGAGCGGCTCTTGGTGGTTCACCATCATGGGCACGTGCAACTATGCTGGCAACAACATGATCGGCCAGAGGATCTTCGCCAGAGGCGCTCCTTGTTCAGGTTGCGCCGCCATTGGCAGAACTTGTGACGCCGCAACGAGTCTTTGCGTGTAAAACTCTGATTTGTGCGCAATAAAAGTGGGAAATTCACTTGATTTTCAATCACATTTTAGGCATTTTAGTGTAAATCACACAAAAATTTGATATTTTAATTGATAAGCGCAGTTTTTGCAATACAAGTCAGTCAATTTTGGGTATTTTCCACGACTCTTAATGGCATTCTTCAGCTTGAGGGCTTTATTTGGCCTGAATTTTGAATCTTTACAGTGTTTTTCAAAGACAATTTGAACGTTTATCCTTATTTTGTCTTTCCTCTTCTATCAGTGCTTAAAAACACTTTTTTAAAGGTGCATTTATTTCTCTCTCTCTCTTCAGGAGATTCTCAGCCAGATCGTGGAAAAGGGCGCGCAATTCACGGAGATGCAGTATTTGAATGCTCTGCAGCTGATCTGCAAGAATCGCGGTGTGACGGATCAGAATATGTTGGCGACATATCAGCAGAAGTTGTCGGATTTGCTGGGGCCGAAGCCGCCGCTTGGCGTGACTGTGTGAGAGGCGGCTTGGCGTCTTCTTCTCTCTTCCTACGCATGAATCTGTCTGTGCAAATCATCAATATTCCTCTTCAGCTACATGAGAAAAGCAAAAGGAAAAAAAAACTATATTATTGCGTAATTTAGTGGTGTTCTCTTAAGTCTATCGCCAGATGCCAGTAGATTGTTAAGGATTGTTTGAAGATGGATGAAGTAATAATACTTAAAAAAAAGTGCCTTTAGTATGCTATTTTCGTTTGAAAATAGGATCTTTTCTTTTTCCTTTTCCAATTGGAAGGTCATTTCACACAATAATAATATTCAGTCTTGAGATTTGAGGGGAGGGAAATACAGCTAAACACGCGAGAGGATAGAGAGAGAGCCTAATTTATTGTCTCATTCATTCCCTTGTTGCCAATGAGTTATTGAGCGTGTTTTGGTCGCCTTAATTGTGGCACTCTTGCGGCAGACGCGCGCGAGTCGATCACCAAGAAAAGAGGTAGAAAGACAGACAGATGAAAGGATAGTGTTTAGGAGGAATGAAAGCCATTCAATGCTTCCCTCTGTCGAGGGTGTGCTTCTGCCCGATTTCCCATTGCTGCTGCACTAGAAGACGCGCATCATGATGATGCCGAAGAGGGTCAAGTTCAGGTAGAAAATGCGTGCGCGCTCGAGGGAGAGCGGCAAAAAACGACAGGTGGCAAGCAAGGGAAGATCTTTTTTTGCCGCTCAGCCTCTCGATTTGATTGAAGGGATATTTGTGGATCGATGGTCAGATGCTGGACTGTTCGACTCTCGTTGGTTGTTTCTGAAAATAAAAAGAAATAGAAGAGAAAAAAATTCTTAGCCAAAGGAGACCTTTTGATTAACTTTTCCTGGTTGGAGAAAAAAAAACTAATCTGCATCGTTTTAACGAATATTTATTTATAGACAGTAGCAATAAACTGAGCATTGCAATGCTTATGATCACAATTGATTACAATTTAACAGAGAAGATGAAAAGAGAGAGAAATATAATTGGAAATAATAGCTGTAAATGTTTTTTGTAGAATGGAATAATTTTTAAAAAATATATTTTAACAAATATTCATATTTTAAGTGTGTATTTTTGGTCGTTTAGCTGTTTTTTTTTGCTAGAGAGCACTCTGATTGCCTGTCTGCGTTTGTGTGCCATCCTTTTGCGTGCTCCTGCAGAGAAACTGTGAACACGCCGGCCTGGAAATTGATGGGTGTCTGAAAGACTGGAAGCTAAGCCCAAACAGATGGCTTTTTAGGTAATTTGATCGCCTAATCGCCATATTTTAGCAGGAGTAACACATACAGAATTAATTTCCACACAATGCACGGACTCGGCGATCGATGAAGGCGAAATCTTTCGGGGCAATTCAGCAGCTGTGGCTAAATTACACGTTTAATAGCAATTTATGCGATCATCTGTCATCGCAATTCGCGAACTGTCGGCGACATATTGCTGCCCAAATGTGTGGCAATTCAGGATGCAGCGTCTCTTTGAATGCCAATTCCTTCAACGTCTTTTGATGCTCCTTTTCCTGATTTATCACAATATTTTATTGGCGATTTTCGAGTTAATTTTACATTAATTTTGATAACAATCCTATTAATTGAAATTAATCATCAAAATGAAGCATTTGAATTAAATTGTATAATTATGAAAATATTTAACTTCTTTCCCTAAAATGTTGCCTAAAAAATTTCACAGAATCTCTTGAAATAAAGTAGAAAACATAGATTTTAAGGTTGATAATATTAATAAAAATGCAGAATAATTTCTAGCTGAATAATAACATTTAACTCCACTCAATAATAATTCTCAAAGCGTCAACTGCAAATTGCCAAATGGAGAATTGTGGGCAAATTTTCCCGGCTTTTCACGTGTTTGCCGCAGATTCCGGCGTGCTTGTGAGTCACGCTTGCGGCGAAAGTTGTTCCCCATTCGCGGCGAAGCATGCGCTGCAGCTCTCGCCGGTCTCTTCGGCCACAAACGCCGCGAAGAGAGCGAAGAGCGGCACGCGACGCCGGCAGTTGAGATTTGCTCCTCACTGTGAAGTTGAGTGTTGTGCCGTGAGGACGTGCATTCGCCGCTCTCGCCAGTGAGATTGCACTCTGTTCTGGTGCATTTTCACCACTCTGGATTCTGACTGATTGCCTCTATCGAGGGACTTTAGAGTGACTCCTTTTTTTTACTGTGCCAGCACTTGTGATAGAGAAACTCTGTGTTTCCGTGCATTTTTCCATCATCATCAGGAGTGAATGCGTGTTTTCCGTTCGCGCGGCTCAATCATTCAATTCTCAGCGCGGAGTTGCACAGCATAAACTGCCATCGAGTGGTGAGTCTCTGTTGTGTATTTTTTTTGGCCAGAAGTTCATTCAGAGGCGAAAAAAGCGTCCATAAAATTATAGTGCAGTCGTTAAAATATTGAAAATCGCTATGCTTCTTCAATATGTGCCCCAATAATTAACCATGAATGGTGCTTGAAACCCATTCGCAGCCGTTAATCGGTTCTGGGTGAGACCAATAAGTTTTTACGACGTCCTTTTTTTCTGCCACACAATCGAGCGCGAATGGGAGGAGTTATTTAAATCACCAATATTTTCAAAAGTCATAAATCTCACTGACTTGAGGGAATTTATGCGTATTTACTCTCTGTTTGAAGGGTCTCTTGAAGGGGTGTCGAGATGAGGAGTGGAAAAAATGTATAATTTTCCAACCCAGAGGGATTAAATTTCGACAGACGCTCTCGAGTCGTCGTGCTAATGAGTGATGAGAGTCCTCAAAAGTGGGAGTCCATTTGGAGGGAGGAAAAATGTGGCTTCTTGCAGCTCAAGAATGCGCTGAATGCGATGGCGTAATTGAATTAACCCAGAGAGAGAGCATCGGAGATGCGAGAGAAGTCAGAGAGAAGAAAAGTCCTCCAGAGGGATGCGATGATTGAAATGAGGTGTCACACTGAGAAGACGAGAGTTCATCCGAGAATTGCCCTCTGAGGCTCTTCTTCTCCCATTTGAGCCCAAGATTATTATTTATTGTGTGCGTATGACACACTTTGATGAGGGTGCAAGTCTTGCGTCACACAATTGCTTCCTCAAACATTGGCTGAGGAGGCGCAGAGGGTCTGAGGTGTGCACGGGGCACAACAGAAGGGCGATAGATCAAATAGTGCTCAAAAATCGATAGTTATGGAGGGTAAAAAACTAACCGGAATTGATGAACAGCATCAATATGAGAGTGGAAATCATCCCTGTTCAATGATTATTTATAAAGTATGTGCAAAATTAATTAACATTCCATTTCATCTGTATTTTAATGCATATTTGAACTGAAATAGTGTATTTTAGATTGCTGTATATATAGATTCTATCGAAACTCATTATGAAACTAAAAATTAATGGAAAAGTATAGAATTGCGATTCAATTAAAACTGACAAATAATTGGAGAAACCACGATGAAACCATTAAATTTTGACAAATTTTATACTCTTCTTCTCTCGCACATACTTTCATGTTGATTAAATTATAATTTTCTCTCATGGGAAATTACCTTTTGACTCATTTGCTCTTAAGAATGTCCATGAAAAGCTGAAGAAAAATAATTTCATGCGAAAATACCTTGATTAGGCCATTAAATGAATAATTTCTCAGCATTTGCGATACTTTACACTTCCCTTTTCATCTTGAGAAAAATCATATCATTATTATTACCTGAGGAATTACCAGGTAAACCATGAATCTCTTTGATGATTCTTTTGGCACCGTCAAATTTACATTTTTCCACGCATGACTCACCGAATTACCGATTCCTTTCAAGTCTCTCTTCGGTCTACAGTTGGGCTTTCCCTTTTGGCTTTCCTGAGGAAGACAGCGCGCCCCTTCAGTGGGTGGGTTTTCGCCCTCATTTTCCACCCCACATTGTCGAATCAATGCGATCTCCAGCAGCGAAAGCGTGAAGTATTTTCAAGAGAGAGAGTGAGAGATAAAGAGCGTGAGGGAAAACGTGATTTATTGCCATGTGAATTTTCCAGGGTGTCTCGCAGAGTTTGGCAGTGAAATAATCACTCAATTTGTTATTTATGAGGGCAGCGGCCTTAAAAATCCCTGCGACCGACGGAGTTGCTCCATTCAGGCTCTGCATTGAGAGCCTGAAGGAGGCCGACAAGAGGCTGTTGAGGATGAATCGGAATCTCGTTAGGGGTTGTCTTATCTCGCCGAGTGACTTAATTAGAGATACACTGTGTGCATCCAGAAGGGGTGGTGAAGCGAATCAATAGTTCCCGGTGATTAAGGGGCGGAGAACTGCTTGACTATCGATTTTCCAACTCTGATCGAAGTGAATTTCTACACTAATTAGCGATATTCCTGAATAAATGAGAGCTTTACTTGACTTTTGAAATTCTTTTGAAGATATTTTAGCAATGATTTTCACTACAGATGAGAAAATGGATGCATGAATAGCTTTTATCCAATATTTTTCTCAAATATAACACATAAATTTTCCGATTTGCCACTGAAGTTTCACTGCGAGAGACACATAATTTACCCCTTGGCAGAGATAAGATGAAGGGCGAGATATATTGGAAATTGGCGTGTCAAATGGCATAAACTTCCATTGACTCTTTTTCATAATTCCTTAGGGTAGAAACTCATAAGTTTTTCACACAAAACACACTCAAACATGTGTGCAAATACGGGTTTTTTTCAGTCTCTTCCAAATGACCAGAGTTGGAAGATATCTAGATGTGATTATTGTCTGTCTATTTTATGGCAGGGGAAAATGCCATAAAATTTTCCTCTAGAGTAAACATAAAATTCACTTCTTATCACATTTAGATTTGCCCTTTTTTCAACACTGCCAGAGTTGTGTCGCAAGAAACTTTTCACTCTTCTCCGTGACATTATTGCCTCCAATATCAAGTCGGGAAGAGATGCTATCGAATGTATTCCTCATGGCTTCTTCCCTTCGCAAAAATCTTCTGGCATTCTTTCACGTTTATTACATTTGAGGCTCTCCTTGGTGCGCAAAACTTCCCCCACTCTTGGACAGCGCGGCAAAAGGTAGAGATTTCTCAGTGTGATGCACAAGAACAAGATGCGAAGCGAAAAAATCATTGCGAAGCCCCAAAGGCGCTCCCAACGATGTGAGACACCTGCCGCAAATTTATAGTCACTTCCAAGAGAGCGATTCAGACCCGAAAAATGCCCCAGCATTGATTTCGGCCGTTCGTGTGCAAATTTATCGGTTGAAGAGTTGGTCTTTGGGCGGCAAATGAGAGGCAAAAGGGGCAAAAGTGGTGCGAGAAGGGCCAGCAAAGTGCGCCCAAATGGAAAATTATGCCATAATGAAATTTCAACACATCACAGAGTTGAAATGCGTCGTGAGGGAGGCTCTTTAGCCTCCTTATCATGCCGGAAACATTGCTGAAATGTGTGGTTTTAGATGTGTAGAGATTGGTTCTGAATGTTTCAATTTGAAAGTGGTTTGAAGGTAGAAAGGAGGAAATAATAGCATTGCGGTGTTAAATACAAGGATAAATACTTTGTTATAATTCTTTAAAATAGACTGAAGTTGTATAAAATCTCCTGTTCTTTAAATAATGCTGTTGCTTTCGAAAATCCGTCGAAAAAAAGCGTTGCAATGAGCATTTTCCCAACAAAATGCATCAGAAGACGTTTTTCAAAGAGTTTTGTCTGAACAGCTTTAAAAACAAGTGAAGACATCCTATGACACAAATAATGTCTTAAATCACTTCTCCAAATTGCTATTATTCTTGGAAATCCGCCTAATCAGTGTCACTTTTGGCAATCGAATAAATAACTTGGAAGGTATGTGCAGATATGCAGTGGAAAGCAAATGTAGAACATTCCAAATTGACACTTTTCCAGAATATCATTTATAAGTAAAGGTGAAAATATTAACAATGCATCCGAGACATCTCAAGACATTTTGCCAATTGATATCGGAACACCCACAGATGGGTTAATGCTGGAAGATGTCGAGTTCCTTCCCTGCTAAATATTTCATCGCCGTTCTTCCATGTGCTTTGCGCTCTTTTCTCTTTTCCCCGAAGCATTTCTATTGGAATGTTGACCACGTTGACTTTACGACAGACATAATATGAGTGTTTAATGCTCAACATGGTGGAGTTGAGCAGGTGATAGCCAAATTGCCGCCACTAGAATAGTTTCCATTCTATAACATGATGGTCAGAAGATTGCAGACCTCTATTGGAGTGTCTTGTGAGGCACAAGGATTGTACACAATTTGAATTACAAATCCACCTCTGCAGGTGAATTCTGCCGTGCGAATTGTGGAGTGCATTTAATCATTTAATGGGGCGTCTAATTTGTTGTTGGACCTTCTTGTTGAGCACTTTCGCAGTGGTGATATTCTTTTGTCCGGTCCTGTTGGCAAAATCTCACAGATAAATGGCTGTTTCATCGAACAAGGAACCACTTTCCATGAATTTGCTCTGGTTATTGTTGCACAAGAAGTTCTCTTGAATTGTCTGAAAGCATTTCTCATTTAGCTTATGCATGTGAAGGTATTATCCTTCATAGATTACCGTGGAAATCCTGGACTCCAAGCACGATAAGGAAAGCAGTCGATGGGAAAGCCATCCGACGTGTAATATTTATGTTTAGACACTGTTCCATTGTTCTCCAGCTCCTTCAAGTCAACGAACGCCATATCACGATGGGTGGTGTTGAATTTGCTCTTGATCCACTTGGAGAGCAAATTGGTGCGTTGCTCAGACAAAACATCCGCCAGTTTGCCTTTAAGCTCTCGGCAAATGTTGAAAGCTCGCGTGAAGTTCTCCGGTTTGTCGTAGTAGACAAACATGCCCAATCCTGGCATACACGTTGCGTTCAGAGGCACTGAAAGAGAGGAAGATTACCTGGAATCTAATTTGCAAATATGCAGAATTCAGTGCGACTCACATGGAGGATTGACATAGAGACTGTAGTATTCGAAGCGCGTGTCATTAATCATTGTGGAGAGATTCTTCAATTCGGGACACTGGAGAATTTGACAATTGAAGTACTCCTCAGACTGCTCAATGATATCCTTTCCCGATGGATATTTACTATCCTCAAATGGCTTCGTTGTTTTATTCACATTTATGAATTTATTGATGGTTCCTCGATGCGTCGGAGCGTAATTGAATGCCAAGGCTTTGCTTTCGCGCGCCAAATTTGCACATTGCTCAACTGTTTGGAAATTTTCCAGCATCAAAATGGACTTATTGGAGCGCTGACAGTGTCTGGATGGATAAAATGTCACCAAATGTTCCGTATTCACGTTCCAACATACGTTATCACAGCCCAAAAAGTGGGCATGAAGTGCCAAAAGTGCAAAAACCATTGCAACACTCGACATTCTGAAGTGCACTGAATTTATCATATGAATCACAGCTTTTTCATATAGTCATGTGAAATGGAAAATGAGCGGAAGTGTCATTTAAAAGTTGGACTGTGTGATTGAATTGTGGTCAGTGCGAAATGAAGTTTAAATTGTGTGATGAATTTAGGTGGCAACCACAGAGTCAGAGAAGCGGGGAATCTTGCATAACCTTTTCTGCTCTGCGGGAGGACGACAAGAATGTGGCAAGAGGATGAGGGAATGACAGGAATTCGGGGTAATTGAGTTACATGGCATGCAAAAAGGGAGCACAAAGAGGCTAGTGATGGTCCAGAGGAGAGCAAATGACCTCGCATGGCCCGAAGGAATAGTGAAATTTACACTGAATCTTTCATGTGATGCACTTTGTGTGGATGTTGGAGGTGACTTTAGAAGGTTCCACTCTGCATGCCTTCATTGTCAGACCACCAGAAAGACTCGGGGTGATGAGCGCGAGGACGGGTGGAGAGGAGGAGTGAAAAAGAGCAGGTGTTTCTTGACCAAATGTCTCAACTCTATATTGACTCAACAGCCAAGTCTCGGCGGATTAATGCTCTTGTGCTCGGCATGAAGAGATTTTTTCGTATAATTTTTACTTTACTCTGACTTTCTTCAGCCATTCTCTTTGTGGCCAAAAAATTGAATCATCACCAGAAGCCAAAGCACTCTGGATGATGCCCTTTGCTGTCTCACTCTTATTTTCCACCACGTTTTTGCCCAATAAAGCCGGTTGCAGCGCCAAATTACAGTCTTACGATTGCATTTTTCCCTCTCTGGATGTGCTTTTTTTTCTCTTCGTCTTTCCCAATCTTATTATTGAACATCTGAGAGAGAGAGAGAGAAGGAGAGAAATGAAATGTAAAGTCTGGTGGTGTTCTTTATTAAACAACCACCGGAGAATGAGTGCATCTTTGTGCGGGAAAAGGTCAAAGAAACTCTGCATCGATATCGCAAAAATAATGATGTTCAGTTCATGGATTTTTCAAAGCCAGAGGGAAATTTATTGGGTTAGTTGGAAATTGATGGAATATTGCCAATGTTTCTGCATCTAAATTTCATTAAAAAAAAAACAAAGAGGAGCATTTTATATTGATATTGCTAGAAAATAAGTGAATTTCCCGAGGCATTTTATACTGTTTTTCTGATGCTTTGTCATCTTTCCAGTTTCATTTTCGAAAGTCACATCAGAATGATAAAAGCGCAGGCTAAATTATTCCCGTAAGTGAGCTCAATTAGTGTTGCTGGGCACAAAAATTGATATGCTTGATGAAAAAGTGGCTCAGCGACATGACACCTTCTTTTCCGCGAAGCGAAAGATGTCGTTTTTGCCCAGAGAAGACAGCAAAAATCTGCTGAAATGCGACAGGATTTGCTGGGGAAATTCTTTTCACACGACACAAAACCATGGGCGTTTGAGGACGAAGGAGAGTTTTTGGAGGAAAGTCGCTTGAAATTCTCCAGTGTGTGTCACACATTCTCATTCCGGTTCTTCACGATGCTCTTCTGCATGACAATTGCGGAAAAGCGCTCAGCGCGTGATAAGACGAAGGAGCGACCGAGAGAGGAGAATTTAGTGTTGTACAAGAGGCTTGAAATTCTGCAAATTGTCTCCACAGTTGGCAATAATTGAATGATGGAACTGTGTGTGCAGTTGTGAGGCACTCCTGGAGGATGTAAATTATTTTATTAATTAGATGTGCTGTTGGAATTACACAGTGCGCAATTATCCAGATGTTTCCACCACTCTAACCTTCGCCCTTCCGCAAGACTCTGGGCCATAATCTGTATATTTAAATTTCCCGATGCGAACAGGCGCATGAGAATTGGGAAACTGTGCTAAATTGTTGTACAATATAATTGTACATGCTCTCTTCGCATGCAATTTCAACGTGAAATGCGCCGGTTTTTGCCCTGTCTCACTCTTCACCTCATCTTTCTTGCATATTGTACAGCCGACGCTCATTCGAGAATATGTACGCATTTTGTGTCGATCTCTTAATATTATATTATTATGGAGTAATTGCGCCGGAGAACAATTATCTTCTTCAGCTTGTCTCTCTTTGGTGCTCATGAGAGACACATTTTTCCTTCACCTTCATTCAACACACTGGTGCAATTCAATGGCAAAAGTGTACAAGACATTATTTTCCGGGTTGGGGAAAATAAACGCGAAGAAGAAAGTGCACAAAGAGTGGCTGAAACAGAAGACGCGCAGTGAGAAATTCACTCAGAAGATAAAATCTATTTTATCAAACCACACATGAGGAACACAACGAAGAAAACCCCACAAAATGGGCCATCCTTAATTTCATTCACCCTCTGAAAAGAAGCCCAGAAGAAACGAGGAGTTAATGGCTTGAGATGCAATAAATCAAGGTAGATTTCGCTGAGGCAGAAAAGACTTAATGCTGAGTGAAAACAAACTCACAATTGCTGCCATCGAAGATTTTGTTCGTACAAATGACACTCACGAGTCGAATTCTGTCAACGTGGTGAGATTTTAATTTTAGAAACACCAGAGATTAATTTACTCACGTTTGGGATGTCATGGCAGAGGCGCAAAAGGTCCTCTGGAGTGAAAGTGGAAAGCATGTTGACTAATTTTCCCATGAATTTTCCTCCAGAAAAGCAGCCACAAATTGGTGACACAGAGCTGTGGATGCAAATTGTTCTCTCCAATTCAATATTGGGAATCAAGTGTAGAATGAGAAGAGAAAATGGACTTGGAAATTCCAATTCAGTTGATTGGAAATTCATCAAATATTCGTCCTGGGAAAAGAGTCACTTTGTGGGAGTTTCTAAGATGGATTTAAGAGCTTTTCTGGAGAGTTTCTTCAGTGAGGAGGTGAAGCATAAAGAAGAAAGTAGTCATTTTCGTAGAAATACGGATTTTTATGCTTTAAAGCCTAATAAAATTCTAAATTTTCATAAATCTTATAATATAATTTCACAATATCATCTTACAAAAATGTAATACGATAAGTAATGTTAACATTAGAATGAATTTGTCCATAAGACACATTCTTTTTCTCGGTATTTCTCTTGGTATTCCTCTGTAACATAGAATTCACCTGAAAATCCACATGAAGAAGTATGCAATTGACTATTCAGTACAGCGTCTGCATTGCAATCAACCATCTTGACAATGCGACAAGCATTTCTTGCGCAAATGTACCGTCAAAACCCCACTGATCGCCCCCTTTGGAATTGATTTGCTCCAAATATGGGCGGTTGGGATAGTGGAAATCCCACAAATTCGGTTGTAAATTCCCCAAATTGGGGTGGAAAGAGGCGAGAGTGAACGATTTGGGAATTTTAAAATAAATCGCGCTCACTCTCTTGTCCATAAATGGAAAGATGAGCGCGTAGAGAGGAATGTCTTCTGTATCTACAGCGCATTGGGAATTCATCATTCTGGATGAATCCCAATTTGGTGAATGAACACATTCCGCGCGTCTGAGGAAAGTGATAAGAATGCCGATGGCTGAGTGCGTTTTGACTGTGTTGGAGTGGCTAAATAAAGACTGTGGAGATCTGTGAATGTTCTTTATCAAGGTCAATCGCGAAAGAGAGTGGGATTTCGCACTCAAGCCGCCAATATTTGGCCGCTTGTGGAATCTCACTGGACAGAGAGAGTCACGCTTTGTACTCGCGAGGAGCATTGTTCAGCGCTGACGATAAGATTTGGAGGAGCGCGCACCTGGCAGTGATTATCAGTGCGTGGGGAGTCTATAAAGGCAAGGTCGAGTGCGGCTCCGGCAAACAGTGACCACAAGAATGGCGATGGGAAAGAAGTTCGACACCCTCACGGAGATCATCCTCATAGACTATCGATGGGTGTTCGTGTGCCTGTTCCTGCTGCCCATCTCCTTCCTCTACAACTTCTTCTACTACCTCCGGAGTGAGATCATCTTCCGCCTGAGCAGCGCACCGACGGCGCACGGCGCCAAGGTGAGATCCATCCAGAGGCAGGTGAAGGAATGGCGCGAGACGGGAATGGCCACGAAGATGTGCACCGCGCGCCCCGGATGGCAGACCATGAGCTTCCGCAAGCCCATGTACAAGAAGAGCATGTTCCAGGTGAAGTGCAACCTCGTGGACATCCTCGAGGTGGACACCGCCAAGAGGACAGTGCGCGTGGAGCCTCTCGTGAACATGAAGCAACTGTCTGAGACGCTGGGGAAGCTGGGCTGGACCATTCCCATTGTGCCCGAGCTGGATGATCTCACTGTCGGCGGATTGGTGATGGGAACCGGCGTCGAGTCCTCGTCCCACATCTACGGACTGTTCCAGCACATCTGCCTGTCCTACGAACTCGTCCTGGCCGACGGAAGCGTCACGAAGTGCTCCAAGGACGAGAACAGCGATCTCTTCTACGCAATTCCCTGGAGTTACGGCACTCTGGGACTCCTCACGGCCGTGGAGATCAAGATCATTCCATGCACGCGGTGAGTTGTCTCAAATTTGCACCCGCGCGAGAGTGATAAATTTGATTTTTATGAGCCCGCTTATCAGCCAATTGAACTCAAAAGACGCTTATAATTCTCTTTCACTCCTCCATTATGTCAAAGATTATGCGCTATCATTGACTTGGGCGCGAGCAAAATTTGCGAAATACCACGAAATGAAGTGGCGACGAAAGAGCTGATAACGTTGTTTGGATTTTCGGCTTTTGGCTAAAATTTTATCAAACAAGGGGAAAATATTGTGGCTGAAATATTTCTGAAGTAATTTTTCAAGAAATCCGTCTTATTGCACAAAATAGACTGAATCTACCAAATAACCAACTGATAATAAAGTTAATAGATTGATTTCAGAAGTTTCCAATCTCTTTTTTATCTGGAACATAGAAAAGCTTAGGAGTTGTCGATTAGTTATAATTTGGTATTGAACATGAAATCGATAATTAATTGCATTGCAAAGCTCTTAATCTACTTTCCCATTTAATCTGCAACAGCTTCATCAAACTGTGCTACGAACCTGTGAAGGGCTTGGATGAAATTGTTGAGACATTCGACCGAGCGTCGAAGAACAAGGCGAATCACTTCGTCGAGGGCTTGCAATATTCCTTGGATGAGGGTGTGATAATGACTGGCGTCATGGTGGAGGACGCCGAAGTGGAGGCGGGAAAGATTAACGAGATCGGAAAGTGGCACAAGCCGTGGTTCTTCAAGCACGTGGAGAAGATCATGAAGAAGGGTCGAACGACTGTTGAATACATCCCGATTGTGGATTACTACCATCGCCACTCCAGATCGCTGTTCTGGGAGCTGCAGGACATCGTGCCGTTCGGCAACAACGTCTTCTTCCGCTTCTTCCTGGGCTGGCTGATGCCAGTGAAGGTGTCTCTGCTGAAGCTGACACAGACGGAGGCCATCAAGAAGCTGTACGAGAACAATCACATTATCCAGGATCTTCTGGTGCCGACGCGAACCATGAAGGAGTGCATTGAGTTCTTCCACGAGCACGTCAAGGTTTATCCACTCTGGCTGTGCCCATTCAATCTGCCCAACGATCCGGGAATGGTGCATCCCAAGGAGAAGGAGGAGATGTACATCGACATTGGCGTCTATGGCGTTCCGCACGTGAATAATTTCCATCCCGTGAAAACCACCAGAGCCATTGAGGATCTCGTGGAAAAGTGCGACGGCTTCCAGATGCTCTATGCCGATACATTCCGGTCAAAGGAGGAATTCTATCGCATGTTTGACCATAAACTCTACAACATCATGCGAAAGAAATTAACTTGCGAATCCGCTTTTCCCGAAGTCTACGAAAAAGTGAATAAAAATGCCAGGGATTGAAAATTGAGCGGAGTATTTTGTACGGATTATTGCATGCTTGTTCTGACATTAAAATAAATAGTTTGACATGGTCTTGAGTGCGTGGTTTCTTTAAACTCTATAACGAAGATAGAGAAACAGCGTGCAAAACAAACTTTGCCATTGAGAATCATTTATGGTGTGTTTTCAATGCTTTTGCCGATAAGCTTTCTCGGAAACTTCACGAACAGGGGAGAGATCTCACTATGATTCCCTTTGTTTAACCAGAAAACCCTCTCGGAAAACTTATGCAGGCGCACTTGAAACTTTCCCCTGAAGCACTTGAGATTTTGGCGCTTCGAGGCACTTTCTTATTGTTTACTTCAAGTGTTTACGCTTTGATTTGCATCACTTCCAATATCAATTGTTTGTCTCTCTTCAATTGTAATCCTGCGTTTCGTGTGTGTGTGTGCGGCAATAAAGCGTTGCAAAATCAATTAATTCTGCCTCCTGGGGTTGAGAAATTTCACCGGCAGACGTCGTATCACTTTTTCCCTTTCATGAATAATAAAGTCTCCCTGCAGTGTGTATGACTCTAAGCCACGGAAAAGCTCTGCTTTTGCAATGTGAGACTCCTGCAAAAATTTCCATAACTTTTCCAACATCCCTTCTATCAGGGGATGAAATTCCCCAAGAGTGCACGAACAAAATTTCTCATCACTCCTAAATTAAAATGCTCACAGCAGTTTAGCAGAGACAATCATGCATAATTCACACTGAATAAATATTGACGATTCTATCACGCTGAATGTGTGTGCAAAATGTATTCTTTCTCTGCTCAATATTATTCTATAGTGAAATTTCCGTGCGAGAGAAAAATCTGTAATACGTTAGCAGATAACATTTTATCACTTTTTATAATATTGAATTTGAACAAACATTGGATTTGTCAAGGATAAAGACTTGCTGCTAAATCACGTTATGTATGGCAGGATTATGTGCGCTTTATAACAGGAAATATACATGACTTGAATTAAATTTGAATTGGAAGTATTGTCAGAATAATTCCCCTATTCAATAGTTTCAACATTCCCCTTATTTGTCATAGTAGAATTACGTTTTATTCACCAATACAACATTGTGTATGATTTGATTTGAATTTTTTGGAAAAAAATATCTGCACAAAAAATTCAAATTGTCTTTTGTAGCGCAAATTTCACGAGGTTTTTCGCGCTCGTAAGTAGCAAAATAGCTTTTTAATCATCACGACGGAGGATTAGAGAGAAGCTTTTCCCCAATTCAAGCCACGTGAGCTTTCTGCTGGCGCTGTGAATGTGATAAAAAGTGAATGATGAAGGGAGTCTGCTTACCAATCTGTATTGCATAATGAAAATTTAATGAGAATTTGCTCGGGCGCCGCTTTGTTTCCTCTCTTGATGATATGTGCAAAGTGCCTCCCGAAGAAGCGCACAATTATTATCCTTCCCCAATTTTATTTATTGCTCACCCCAGCAAAATGGTGACAAACGGGGAATTTATGCAAAAGCTGCAGCACTTCATGATTATTAAATTGAATACACAATGAAGTCAGAAGAATCATCCTGGATATATTATTATGTGGAAAAATGAAGGAGAGATTTCACGGGGAATTCAACCAAGTGCAGAAGAAGACTGTCAATAAATAATTTCTATTGATTCTGATGGGAAACCACGAAGAAAACATCCCGAATGAATTGTGAAATTGTGTTCAAGAGCTAAAAAGAACATCGTTAAAATGCACAATGATACTCAGAAAGGATGGATAAAGTCGGGAAAAGCTTTTTTTTTCGCCAAAGATGAGCGCACCATTCAAATTTTGTATTGCACGATTGTTGAAATTGAAAAAGTTCCCTTCATTGCGCCATTAGCATTCAAAACACTGGCTCATCTCGTCGGTTAGAAGTCCGTGGTTGTTTTCATGCACTCTGATAGAAGAACAAACTCATTAAACGCGCGCAGAGGACGTTTGGAAAAACTCGTAAAAGAAAACTTCAGCCACTTGATTCTCTTTGGGCGATTTCACAATGCAGCTCATCTCTTGAATCTTGAAGATTTCCCTTCTTTTTTTCCATACATATTGATTGAAAATGTGTGTTCTTTTCCACGAGACGCCAAATTGGATAAAACGCTATAAATAATTTATCATGTCGAACACTTAAAGTGCCACTCGGTATTTTCACTTCAGCAGAGCAAATTAATATTGACATGTTAAAACTTTAGACATCTTCTATCTAATAAAACCACTGGTGGTGGGAAAATTAATATGACGGCAACATTTCTGCCATTTTCCTTGTCTTTTGGCAGCAACTTGTTCGGAAGTTCGCCATGCACTTTCATGCAAATATTTAACAAAGAGCCGAGTTTTCCATGGAGAGAATTAGACTTAGACGCGCAGTTTCCAGTCATGTGGAAAATTTACCAGAAACTCCAGAAGTATGTAATATTTAATGATGATATTTAGCAACGAAACTTTCTAACGTGAGGTAGAAAATACGCGGATAAAAGGTGGAAGATTCGAATACAGCTATAAACTGCCACACAAATCGACTTTCCCCTCTTATTTGCAAATGCTATTTGGCACTGGAAGTAAATTTCGTATCAATAGTGTGCCTACAGTGCTTGAATCGCGCCATAAAGAATGCAAATTCTGCGCCGATGGAGTAAATAAAATGAAATTGTCTCAATCTCCTTTGCATTTGCATCCCCAATGGCTTCCAGCTTTGCCAATTTGATTATGTGTCGCGCGGCACAACACTTGGGGAGCTTTTCCCTCCACCAATGTGAGGAGGAGGGAAGGCAGGGAGAGTTTTCGCCTCGAGGACCGGGAGGAAATTTAGTAAGAATCGTGTGCAATATTGCTCCTTGCCACGAGTTTCCTTCGTGATGATATCACACACGTCTCCGGATTTTTCGCCACATTCTTGCGACTCACTGATAATTCCTCCAACACTCATGGCTAAATGTGATTCGGAAGGCTTTATCGCATCACGTCTGCGAAAGAGAAGAATGGCACACACACGGTTTGCCCACAATGAGGAAATCGAGATGCCACGCGATGAAAGTGACGAGCTTCCCTTTGCACGCCATTGAGGGTGTGGCGGGCGTGAAAGAGGGCTTGAAAAAGGACTTCCTCAAGCTCTCAATGCCGGGCCATGCTGGGGGAATTACCATATGTACAGCAAAACTGGCTCACAAAGCTTCCAAAGGCGTCACTTGCAATTGTCTCTCTCACTTTCTGCCAACGTTGCGGGAATTCTCTTGGGGTTTTCCAGCATTCAATTTGGCGGAAAGTGTACAACGTCTCCTCGGCAGGATAATAAATTCATTTTGCTTATTTGCAGCAAACACAACCCCGGAACACATGTGCCAAACTGTCGCTTTTTCCCCCCAAATATCGATTTTCTTCCGCGAATTCGTCTCCTTTTTCAATTGAATCACCCAAGAGCTGTTCCGTGACATCAAAAGGCTTGTTTTACGTGAATTTCAGAGATATATTTTGAGTGTATCGAATGTTGAATTTAATACTTGTGTGCCCATTTTTTGTACATCGAAACTCCTTCTGTCTATTGAAGGAAAAATTTATTCTCAAGATAAGTTGACTCAACTTCACTTTGATGCCGGTAGACTTTAAGAGAATCTCGAAAGGTGAAGTAGACATTAAGACCAATAATAGACTTTAAGATCATCATTTAGCAAAACCAATTCTCTTTTTCCTGCAAAACTCCATCAAAAGAATTTCTCTTTCATTCCGATGTTTTGGAAGTATTTTCCACTGAATATCTTTGTGAATTCCTGCAATTTCTTCCCTTTAATCTGTTATGATCCTAAAACTTCTCCCTTTTCTTTGCAGAAACCGCTGGAAAAGGCCCCACTTTCCCTTTGCCGCAGAGTCAGTGTCGACACGAAGGTGAACAGAAAGGAGGTAAAAATCGATTCTTTTATTGTTGTGAGTGGAATTTTAAGTTTTCCACACCCGCAAAATCTCCTGAAGATCAGGCTGAATGTCGAGAAGGAAAGCACCCAACACTTTCATCCCCTCGAGCTCTCTTGGGCCGATTCCACACAACCCTCTGCGCCGGGGGTGAGTCATCCCTGAGGAGATGGCCGGCAAATGTAGCCAAAGTGATTTGCAATTTTGCATGATTGAGGATGCGATGCTGCGTGTGATGGAATGCCTGTGTGACTTGTCGGGGAGATAGAAGCAATTAACGACACCCCATCAGATCGTCTTGCAGAGGGGCATTGGCAATTGTTTATTGCATGCATTATAAAATACAATTGCCGCATTCAGAGCCTGTGCAGCATCGGGAAAGGGATGACAAAGCGAACGCACTGGTATTTCAGGGCACGAAGCCTCTGTCTGCGATTACATCCACAAATGGAGGGAAATTCATGGGCACTTGTCCTCCGAATTAAGCCCCACTGGTAGGGATTAAACACGTCCACAGTATAAAATTGCCATCAGAGCATCTTCATTCCGTCATATCACACCCCGCACAGAAGGTGCACAGCGGACAGAATGGCGTCTGAATGCACTCAATCTCTATCCAATACACAATTCATCAATCCTATTTGCTAAATTAATTACTTATTCACGAACGCATGCACTAAACTACAATCAGACATTGATTAACCAATTAGAGCTGTATTTAGTACTCTATCGTGATAATGCGCAATGCAATTTTAGAGTATTTTAAAATTTGATTATGTTTATGGAGAACATCCTTCACATTCACCCTTTTGTAACTCATTTCAAACTTTTCTCTGCCCAGAATTGACTCCTAAATCCTTCGAAAGGCCAATCCATTTGCGAAGATGAATTATTTCTGCCACTCTTAAGATATGATCGCTATCTTCAGTGGGCGATGAAGGTGAAGACGTGAGTTCAAAACTTTGCTGAATGTGTAGTAATTGTGCTGATGCCAGACGAAGGGGAAAAAATTGTACACATTCTGCAGGTTCAGCAGAGTTCATTGGGTTTGTTTTTCCTCCTACGCGCGCTCAACTCTCGTGGAAATCTAATTCATCATTTAGAGAAGTCAGTGGAAGGTGGAAAAAGCAAACTTCCCAAAAGAGTGAGGAATTATAGAGGAATCTTCTGATATGAAAGTGCATCGAGAGGCCAATAAAAAGGGCAATTAAAAAGATGAGTAAGAGAATTTATTGCTTCAAAGAAAATGGATTAAGTCTATAATAAATGCACATTTTCGAGTCGAATGCAGATTTTCAGACACATTTTTCACACCAGAAACTTCGCATAAACACTCACCTTTCCTATATATTCTCCTAGGATAAAAAAAAACGAAAATGGTGTGAGTTAAGAAGTTGAAAAGGAGTCCAAACGGACCGTGATTTTATTACTTGGCTGGAAGTTCCGTGCAACCGGAGAAAATGTCTGCAGAATATTCACCCTCATTATATTTCGTACAACTTTTTCTTCGCAACACCGCGCCAACTTTTCCTCAATAACACATTATCTTGCGCCATCGTTTGCTCTCCTCGACTTCTTGTGTGGGTGAAAATATTTGCCAAGCGAGGTCAAATGGATGCACGGGCGCGATAATAAAATATTAAGTTACCGCTCCGAGTGAGACATAGAGACTTTTCCCCTCCGGAGCTTTTATGAAAAATCAACAGACGAGAAAATATTGTGGTTCTTTTTTTTTTAACTACCTTGAGCGTTTTTGTCATTTGACAGAGTTGAAGAAGGAAAAAAAATACGGGAAAGGAAAGAATTGTTTCCACCTTTCGCTGTGCGGAAATATGATGCTTTTAGCGCAATATCTTGTGATACTCTAAACGGATTCCGAATTAATCTTCGCGCTTCAGTGATTTGGACAATCTTGTTTTGCATTTGTCAGCAAGACTCTCCCCTTCGTTTTTCATGAGGCCATTTTGAGTGCAAAAGACCGCATAATAACTCTATTCCAAAATGCTAAATTGTATTTGGTCTGGAAAAACTCCCCGTATTTTCTCAGAAAACAATAGTAAATCCCCTGGGGTTGTTTTGCCCCAACTTTCCCAAAGACCGTGATTTGTAATCGTTCTTGCTTTCCATTCGAAAAGCCCTGGATATATTCAAATCGTGGAAAAGAATAACAGAGAAGACAGTTGGTCAAAGAGAAGGATTCAAATTGAAAGCCTCGAATGTAAACATGATAATATTGCTGGACACTTTGTGCATGATGTTGTAATATAGGAGATCAAAAATCTGGCTTCAAATTCCCCAATCAAAAAAGAATCCACAGCGGATATCTTAAAAGCTGGCGTAAGCCTTGGATTTCTGGAATGTCTCTAATGGAGAGGAATTCGTAATTGATGGTTACCTACATTTTTGTGCAGCACCAGACACTGCGCTGCGGAAGAGGCGAAAAGCCTCCAAAAATAGCCACCCACTCACAGTGAAGAAATCCGAATGAATATACAAACAAAAGTGGATAGAAAAACACTCTCATGAAATATTTTCACCATATAAATTGCCTCAATTTAAATTGTTGCACGAGATTCGACGGAATTGCCAGGAGTGTGGGTAGTTTGTGTTTGTGGCAATTTGTCAGTATACAAGTCAGTTAATTTAAGGATTTATATTGTGCCGATGTGGCACATAGAGTGCACGTGAATCGAGCACGGGAAAAAGAAGTGAAGAGAGAGAGAGAGAGAGAGTTCTTGAAGCATTTCACTGCATGTGTCATTCGGAAAATGTTCCTTTTTATATGGAAATTCTCCTCATTTTCCCTCAAACATCATCATTTCAAGCTTCATGAATTTCCTGAAATTCCATCCACAGTCCTCGCAGATGTTCAACTCCATTCCTCGCCCAGTCTTTTTGCGTTTTCTCTGCGCCTTCGGGAAAATCTCTTGTGCCACACACACAATTGCTTCCGAATGGTGTGCGCTGAAATGCATTTCCCGATAGAAAATTACACATTCCACGACTATATTCTCCATCGTCACGCAATCTCCTCAGGTTTTTTTCCCCATTTTCACACTATATTGTGTCCATGTGGAGAAAAACGGCCAAGCAACTCGTTATTCTGCTACTCTTCCATCCACTTGTGGAGGACGACTGTTTGGACAAATGCCCGAAATTTCTTGGCTAAAGCATATCCACAAACTCACGTATTTCGGAGAAAAACATAAGGAAAAACACACGAGAATGAGCCGAAAAGACTGCATTTACACAGAGTAAACCATGTGCAGAAGTACGCCGTTTTGACTCTCATCGCGCGCCACTCGAAGAATTTTTCCTCGAAATCCACTTGAAGATGAGGAGGAAATGTCTTGGCGCACACTATCGGCAAAATATGTTGGCTAAAGAATTTCCAAGCGCAGATGAGGAGGAATTAAATGGAATAGAATTGGGTCATCGACATCACCACATATAAACTCTCCATTATTATTTCCGTCGATGGTATTTTAGCATCGCACTGGAGGAATAATAAAAATTTATTGATTATCTTCACCCGCACACGCCTCACCGAGAATGCCAACATTCAGTGGCAGCAAAATGTCTTTAATACGCACGTTTTCTTGTACCATAAAATATCAAACATTCACCATCACGCATTTTCTCAAATTCCCGCCACTTTTGTATTTACCAAACAGCAAAGAGTCAATCAACCCTCACGCATTTCGTACACGAAGAGAGTTCAGTCGGTAAATTTTCCGTCTCTCAATGGTCAAGTCAAATATTTACATACGAAGACATGCGGTCAGATGTTGAGTGATTTTAACATGGAAATTGTGACCACTTTTGAAAAACACCCACTCAATTTCTGCCACGAGACCCATTAACTTGATTATAGGCTACCAAACCACTCGGGGAAAAGTTTTCTCCTTCCTTCGGCAGATTTCACACTATATTCACTCCCTTTTTCTGCCAATTATTTCCAATTCCTGATGGGGTTATCCAACACACTTTCTCGCCACGTCGCACACCACAAACTCCTGTTCTGGTTATTTGAAATATATTAAATAATTTCGGACATTATATTAAATTCCCAACCTGAGAATATAATTTGCACAAAATGCAGATGGGAAACAGAGCGAAACCACAGTCAGAAAACACCCGCAAATGATTGTGCATAAACCGCAAAAATGCAATATAATCATCAGTCATTATGCGGATTTATTTTATTTATCCCAAAGTTTATGCAACCTTACAATAGTTAACAACGTCTGGTGTTCCTCTGACCAATTAGCAACATTGCAATAGGCGTCAGTTTGATATTTGAGCCTCAAGTTGGGGGTCAAGTGACTGATTAATCAGAAATACCAACACAAGAGGGGCTGATTGGATGGAATATGGTAAACAAAGAGTGATACAGTCTCAGGCTCTCCTCCCCAATTGTTGTATCTTGTTTCATCTCGTGTATAGACATTCAGAATGAGCAACCCTCGGCTGAATTTTAATTCATTTCACCAGATCCATCATCGACACATATCGACACATCCAACCCCGTCGCAGGGGCGCTCCAGTGGGCAAACAAAGCGTCAGGATGTCGCGCTTCACAGAAGGGTACAGGGTCGCTGTCTGACTACTCAATGAGCCCTGCAAATTAGATGAATAACTGTCCGCTGGAGGACCCCAAGTGATGAATTGTCTGCCCCGGAATTGCCGGTTGAAAAAGCCCTAAACAGGCGCGCTTTCGGGGGTGTCACTATAAATGGATTGTGGGCGAGAATAAGGGGGTGGTGGAAATATTGCCATAAATCCATGTTCATTGGATGAATAAATCTATTCGGGCCCAGGCATTTTGCCTTCCCACCTAAATGGGATGTGTGCGAGATGCCTAAACATTATATTAACTCATCTCTCTCACCCTTAGAATCAATAGCCCGCCGGCATTTCTTCCTCTGCAACATATGCGACTACATAACAATCCACATCAATCACGTGAATTGATTTGAATACATTTTCCT